AAATTATATGTATAAACCGTCATATAAAAAAACTATAAAATAAATGTGAATTAAAAAATATTAAACGGATATAACTGGCGGTATAGAAAAACTATAAAATAAATGTGAATTATAAAATATAAAGTATATAACCACTATATGAATTACAGAAATTTGAATTTTTTGAGCCTTTAAAATTTATATAATAATAAATGTTGGAAATATAAATTAATACACAAAAAGGTTCTAGGCATAATTGTATTTTGTATGTTATATATTTACATGTAAAATCCAATCTTCGTTGGGATTGAGCTAATTTTTCAATTATCTCATCCTTGCTTGTCGTCAAATGCCTCTGAATATTTAAAAGATCCAAACCTTTCAATCTACTTTCAGAAGTTGTACTTCTTGGTATGTTTTTCAGAGACCTGGGGAACTATTTTAATTTTTTAAATATACCCAGGCCGGGCCCGAATTTTTAAAAAAAAACACCCGGGCGGGGCCTGAAAATTTTTTTAAAAAAATATCCGGGCCGGGTTGTATATTTCAAAACAGCTTATATTTGAAATCGTTATTATTAGCTATAAAAATCAAAAAGAAATATAATTTATTTTAAAAAAATCCGGGCCGGGCCTGAAAATTTTATTTTAAAAAATGCCGGGGCGGGCCTGAAATTTTTTTAAAAAAAACCCAGACCAGGCCGTAAAAAATGTTTAAAAAAAATCCGGGCCCTGCCATGAAAATGGTACCTCTGCAGGGCTCTGTTTTTCTTCTTAAAAAAGAGAATATTCCCTCATTAGTTTACTAATGGGAAGAGTTGCTAATATATATATAAACCCTTTTAATACATTGGGAATATAATCTAAAATGTATTTGAAATTCAAAGCATCCATAGCATTTTTTGGGACTATATCAATCATAGTTAAACATTTAAACATAGTAAAATCTAACAAAATTTTTTTTTCTATCACCATCTGAAAAAGGTTGGGAAGGGTTTTGTGGAAGTAATATCTGCAGATTGGTAAGCGCTGCATGATGAATTAAAAACCATTCATTTATTTGGGTTATAAATGTATCTAAGAGAGAGAACATTTGTTTTATAATATTCTTCTACTGATCCTATATTAATGTTTTAACGATGAGCTTGCCTTGCTGCAAGTCGAGGGAGACAAATATTAAACATGTATAGCACTGCATTTGACTCAACAATAAAATATGAAATTCTTCATCAACATTAGCCCTAATTTTCTTGATTTCTAATAAAATGCTCTCCGCTATTCTCATCTTATTAATCAAGCAATGGCATGTTTTTGAAAAGTATTACATACATTCTAATGCGAAAAAAATTTTGGAATAAGCATTGAATCCAATAATTTTCTTTCTTCTGAAAAAATATTTCTTTTAGGCTAGTATGATATTTCAGTAATAGCAAATAATCGGCTCTTCTAACTCCATAAAAGCTGTTACTGCTTGATGGCGAAGACTCTATCTCGTTGGACAAACTTGCAATTTCTTTCTTCCTGTTGGACAAGGAGTTTCAGAAATAATTAATATTTGACTTGAAATTTGAAAATGGTAAAATATTACGCCACTAAAAATTTGAAAATACACGCCGGAAAACTTGAAATCGAAATTAATTGATAAAATAACTTAGTAGGTGAATGTGATAAATAAATGTAATTAAATATTTAATATGAGATAGGAATAAATATTAACAAATATAAATTAATATAAACAATAATATTTTTGAAAAATATATCCGGCATCTGCATTTTTTGGCTTTAGAGGGGATTTGTCCCCTCCCCCCCCCGAGTACGCGCCTGATAATATAATATATGTCACACTTTCATAATCTATAATATATATTTGAAAAATTGTTAATTTTGAAAAGTGTCTGTGGCCCAATCGGCAAGAACGTCGCTTACAAACCTGATAGACTTAGGTTCGAATCCCAACAATGTATTTTTTTTGATCAATCTATCTATCTATAATACATATAAAAGCCGTGTCACAGTATTTAAAAAATCATGAATTTTGAAAAGCGTCTGTAGCCTAATCGGCAAGAGCGTAGCTTACAAATCTGAATTTTTTTAAAATCTAACTTGGTGGTTTAATCCTTGGGGAGTTGATAATATCTATAACATATAGTCACAGTTCACAACGTAATAGCCAATATTATTCTTTTAAACCATATCTTATTCGGTCCAATAATAAACCATAGCTTATTCGGTCCAATGATAATATCACTTATCAAACATTCATTTATTTAAGCTACCATTACATATATACTAGAATTCTTAGTGTCAAATTTGTAATTTGTTTATTTTTCATTTAGACAAATTTATTTTTTGACTCTATGGCCTAATCGGCAAAAGCGTCACTTACAAATCTGTTGGATTTGGGTTCGAATCCCAGCAAAGATCATTTTTTTTAAATCCAACTTGGTGGTTCCATCCTTGGGGAAATGATATATAGGAAGCCGGACTTGATCACGTGATTCCATTATAATATCCTCTATCTATATATCTATAATCATAGGTCTGCAATTTTGCAATTTGGTAAATCAATGGGTTATAATGTCATCTGATTATATATGATATTTTTAATGATGATTATACCCAAGATACCTCACCAGAAGACAAAAAATATAGCCTAACCATTTCATCAGAGGGTTAATATTTAGATTTTCACAGTATCAATGTTTAAATTATCAAATATTTCTTACAATAAAGATTTTATTGAAGAATGGATATATTAAAGTTTTACACAATAATTATATATCTTTTAATTGGGTAATTTTTATGAATAAGTAAATATTTGCATTTATATGATTACTAACTGATAAATCATCAAGTTTGACAAAAAAATAAAATTTTCTCCTTAATTTGATGATGGATGAATTAAATTAAAAGCCATGCTTTATGAATTATCACTTTTATGAAATATCTTAGGTCTGTAATTTTGCAACTTGGAAAATCAATGGAATTTTTATTATGGAAGCAGATTTTGGTTTTGTTATTTAATAATTGCCATTAGCATAACTGATATTTTTAAAATTTTGCCATTATTAGCTTCGTATAGGCTATTCCATGTTATTCATGCAACTTTCAACTGAATACCTCTCTTATCTTTTCTGAAGATGCCTTTTTGCATGCATTCCATAGTTTTGTATATTTTCTCATCATTTCATAATTGTTGAATATATATTATTCATATAACTTATTATAACATTTTTGATTAAATGTATAACCTTTTTGTTTTACTTATATATAATTTGACTATGATTGAATTAACCTCCTATTATCTGTCAATTTAGAATATCTTTTTATTTTTTCTATTGTAATTTAATAACAAGATCTTAAATTTAATTTTATATTTTGTACCTAAGTATTAAATAACAATCTGTTGGCTTTGGGTTCGAATCCCAGCAATGCATTTTTTTGTTAATCTAACTTTGTATACTTTTTTTAAATTATATTAATTTCCTTATTTTTTTAAATGTTTATTATTTATGTAATCAATTCTGATTTGGACTTATTAAAGTCTTTTAAAATTGGCTTCAAGAAATTGAAAACCAATTATTATAGGAAGAACATCTCAGATAGTCCCATCATCAAAATGCCAAATAATTATATCCAAATCAAATTTAGATTTAGATAATGGATGTGATATGAATATCAAGGTAAAATAAACGAGGACGTGTGCTCCCTGCTGGATCCTTTTGTTAGAATCTATGACATGTGGGCTGAATAAAGTTTTAATGTTACAGTAAGTCTCTAAGAATTTTGAATAAACAGAAAATTTGGGATAAAAACAATTTATGAAATGTTCACAAAATTTGCTATTGAAAGCATTTTTAAAGTCTACTTTGATAATAGCCATGTTAGGAGGAGGATTTTGGAATACAAATGGCATTATGCCTTCTCCCTTAACACCAAATCTTAATTGATAAGTATACTTAATAAGTTAAGACCCTGGGTTTTGAACCATGGCAATTATCTTTGTTAATAATCTTCTAAATAACCCATTGCAATGGGGTGGATACCAACACAGTTTTGTGAGATAATCAGGTTTGCCCCCATGATTGATTCGAATCTATTATAGCAGGTCCTTTTTTAAAAGAGTATTTAGGAAGATTTTAAAAGCATTTAAATGATTCTTTGAGAAGAATGTAGATTTTATACAAAGTGAGAAAAACCATTGCGTCTGGATGTGGAAAATTTCTTTAAGAATTGATAAATATCATAACTCACAAATCATATTTTTTTTATCCATATTTTTCATAATATATTTCGCCTTTTCTCTAAAAATTTATAGAAATCTTGGAAGGATGAATATGGATAATCTATTCCTCTCATTTGACTATTATTCTGATTCATCGTCAAATGAAGGTAAAATTTGTTATTTATCCATACGGAGAAAATTCTGATTACCCGTCATTCTTGACGGGCTATCAGCTAGTAATTTAATAAAATCGTTAAATTACAATTTAATTCGAAATTTGCATTAGTTCAAAATAAAAAACTCGAAAATATTATTTTAGATTATTGATGAAAAAATTATCTGCCAATACCCATACAACTTTGGGCCTTTCGATAGAATTATTATATTCGCTTTTTATGTATCTTTTTTAAGCTGGTTATTGTCATTTAAACTTGATAAATTTTGTTTAAAAAACTCTAAAGGGTAAGGGAAAATATGGAGGTGCTGGATGGGAGCGTAACTATCATATTATAATTAAATTTATAAAAATATATGGTACAACGTATAAAGGCTTGATGTAGGCTTGGATTAGTCTATACGAAATACCATGGTTAGATTAATATACGAGCCATTATCTATTCAATAATTATAATAAAGATAGATGTGCTACATCCTATTTTTTTAATCCCTCTTCTTATAAAAATTGATGATGATAACTATTGCAGGATTTAACTTCCAAACGATTATGATAATTGACTCAACGAAGAAATAAAACATATAAGATTAAAATACTATTTTTTAAACTCTTCTACAATCCAATGCATTTAGATTCGGTTAAAGCCTTAGTTGAAATAACGGAGAATTACTCTTTACCCGTCATATATATAATTACTCCTACGGCAAATATTATCACGCAAAGAGCTCACCTTACTAGATTAGCGCAAACACTGGCTTTAGTACTTAATGTGAGATGGATCGTTGTAGAAGATACACATGAGCCTTCATCTAAAGTTGAAAAAATTTTAAGATATTCTCATCACCCTTATGCCCATTTGTGTATTCACAAGGAATATGTAATTATTTGGAATTCACTTATATCCTTTTTTTATTTTTATCTATGCCTATTCTAATAAATATATATTACTTATTTCTTTCTTTCTTTCTTTCTTTCTTTCTTTCTTTCTTTCTTTCTTTCTTTCTTTCTTTCTTTCTTTCTTTCTTTCTTTCTTTCTTTCTTTCTTTCTTTCTTTCTTTCTTTCTTTCTTTCTTTCATCTTACTTTCTTTCTTTCTTCTTCTTTCTTTCTTTCTTTCTTTCTTTCTTTCTTTCTTTCTTTCTTTCTTTCTTTCTTTCTTTAACCTTTTACCTTATCTTATTAATTCATTCACATCATTCTCATGGCCTGGATCGAAAACATATTTTATTTCATAGGCTGTAGTCATATACGAATTATATATTTATATTAAATAGAAAAGTTCTCTAATAATTCCTAATTAAAAACTCTTTAAAAAAATTTATATCTGTAGAATAAACTCTAAAAAATAATTATATCTGTAAAATTAAGAATATCATTATCTTCAATTAAAAAGAATGCAAGCCTTGGTAATTACAAAGGATCCGCACAAAGAAACCTAGGTATAGCATGGTTGAGAAATGTATTTGATGCTGATCAGTTGTCGATACCTATTTCGATTAGTTCAAAATCAATATCAATGAATGGGTTGAACCAAACATCTCAAGCTTTTTACACACAAATGGCATCAAAATTTGAATACATGTAACACAAATATACTAATCCCTTCGATCTATAATTTTCAAAATATTTAAGCAATAAGAGTATTTGGGAAGATAATCTGGATAAAAAGAATGGTGTAGTTTATTTTGCGGATGATGACAATACTTATTAACTGGATATATTCAATCAAGTTTATCTCTTTTAAATTAGAGAAATATAAAAGAAAAGAAAGAAATTAGAAAGAGAATAAACCTTAATTAAAATCATTCGCAGTGAAATAATACCCTACAATTTTTAGTTCTATTCTAATATAATAAAATTTTCAAAAATAAAATAGAAATTAAAAATAAATGTCAATTTATTCAAGTTATTATAAATATTTTCGATATCGAGTTTAGATGAGATATATAAAGAAGGTCGGGGTATGGCCAGTCGAATTTGCTGGTGGAGTGTATGCGGAAAAGCCTTTAGTGAAGGAAGGAAAAGTGATTGGCTGGTCAGTTGCTTATGCAAAAGAAAGACCTATAGCCACGGATATGGCTGGATTTGCTATCAATCTTAAATTGTTGTTGCTAAGTAAAGATATTTACTTCATCGAATTGCATAAGTCAGGTTTAAAAACATTATATTTTATATATAAAGAGCCTGAAAGAGAAAAAATTATATATTATTTTATACTAATTTAATTTACTTAGGTTTACTCGAAAGCAATTTTGTCCACGCATTAGTAGATATGGTTGATTTGGAACCACTGGCAGACAATTGTACTAAGGTTATGTTCTGATATAAATTACGATGTTAAAACAAAAAAAATTTATAATCACAAGAAATTTAGTTTTTTCGGGCATGACTAAAATACGCGTCCCCGGAAACTACGCGTCTCTGGTCAAACGGATTTAATTTATATAATATTAATAAAAAATCTTATTTAGCTTTATAAGATGAGTTAAAAAATGTTTTTTATGATTTAAAAAAAATGATAACTTAGTAAAATTTTTAAAAAATTATTTTTTTAAATGAAAAAACTACGCGTCCCTACGCGCCCCCGGTCAATATACAATTTTTTTTTAAAATAAAAGCAGATTCATATTTAGTTCATTAAATGAATATAGAAAATGTTTTTTATGATTTAAAAAAAAATGATTACTTAGTAAAATTTTTAAAAAATTATTTTTTTAAATGAAAAACTAAGCGTCCCTACGCGTCCCCGGTCAAGATACAGTTTTAAAAAAAAATAAAAGCAGATTCATATTTAGCTCATTAAATGGATACAGAAAATGTTTTTTTTGATTTAAAAAAAAGTGGTAACTTAGTAAAATTTTGAAAAAACACTTTTTTTCTTCATTTTTTGACTAAAATACGTGTCTACGCGTCCTCGGTCAAGATAGATTATTTTTATAAAAATGAATGTAGAATCGTGTATAGTTTTTCAAGGAGATTCCGAAAATGGTATTAATAATCTTCTTTTTTATAAAAAATTAATTTTCGAAAATTTTTTTTTTGACTAAACTACGCATCCTTACGCGTCCCCGGTCAAGATACATTTTTTTAAAAAAAATAAAAGCAGATTCATATTTAGCTTATTAAATGGATACAGAAAATGTTTTTTTTTATTTTAAAAAAAAGTAGTTACTTAGTAAAATTTTGGAAAAACCCTTTTTTTTCACATTTTTTGACTAAAATACGCGTCCCTACGCGTCCCAGGTCAAGATAGATTATTTTTATAAAAATGAATATATAATCGTGTATAGTTTATCAAGGAGATTCAGAAAATGGTATTAATAATTTTTTTTAAAAAAAATTTTATATTAAAAAAATTTCCAAGCCAGCTTCATACACATAATAATAAAAAAATTATTAATACCATTTTCGGAATCTCCTTGAAAAACTATACACGATCCTACTAAGTTACCACTTTTTTTTAAATAAAAAAAAACATTTTCTGTATCCATTTAATGAGCTACTGCCTTTTATTTTAAAAAAAAATTGTATCTTGACCGGGGAAGGGACGCGTAGTTTTTTAATGTAAAAAATTAGTATTTTAAAAATTTTGCTAAGTTACCACTTTTTTTAAAAATAAAAAAAAAACATTTTCTGTATCCATTTAATGAGCTAAATATGAATCTGCTTTTATTTTTTAAAAAAAACTGTATCTTGACCGGGGACGCGTAGTTTTTCATTTAAAAAAATTATTTTTTAAAAATTTTACTAAGTTACCACTTTTTTTTAAATAAAAAAAAACATTTTTTGTATCCATTTAATGAGCTAAATATGAATCTTCTTTTTAAAATAAATTGTATCTTGACAGGGAAGCGTAGGGACGCGTAGTTTTTTCATGTAAAAAAATAATTTTTTAAAAATTTTACTAAGTTATCATTTTTTTTTTAAATCATAAAAAACATTTTTTAACTCATCTTATAAAGCTAAATAAGATTTTTTATTAATATTATATAAATTAAATTCGTTTGACCGGAGACGTAGTTTCCGGGGACGCGTAGTTTCCGGGGACACGTATCTTAGTCATGTCCGTTTTTTCGATTACAATATAAATTAAAGTTAAAATTATGGCCGTTAATTTTTAAAGGCATAAATCCTATTACCATAATATTTTGCAAATTCTTAGAAAATGAAAATAGGAATTGAATTAGTTAGCGTGACATTCAATTCCCATAACCTCCGGATTCTGGTAAAAATATTCTAAGAAAAATCCCCCATCCCCTAATAAATATTCTAGGAACTCCCCCCCCCCCCAGAAAAAAATACCAGAGAATTCATTCATAAAAATATATAAACCAATATAAACCGTTGTTTTTAATATAGAAATAGAAATATTGGTAGAACTTCTATATTCTCCTTTCTGGCATGATTAATTTTGATAATTATATATTTTTTACCAATAATTCTTTTCCTCTTTGAACCAACTACCAATGAGAATAAAGCAATAAAATATACTACAAAGCACTAATTAATGGTTTAGTATAAGTTTCAGAATTAGTGCTTCCAAGAGCTTGGCTCACTTTACTATAGCGTGATGTCATAGTATTTATTTTGTTTATAACTCAGTTTCTTTTTGTGGTTCTCATATTTGAGTGAGGAATTGTAAGTACTAGTCAGGCTTTATATTAGCTCACGCCTGATATATAATTTTTTATATTTTCCATTTCACTACGATGGGAAATTTTCTTTATACTGTCTACCATAAGGATTAATTTAATATACAATTATGTTCTAAATATTGATAAAATTTACTGAATAAAAGTCCTTTTTTAATCTTAAGGTTGGCCAAAATCTAGGCGCGTACGCAGCGAAACGGAGAACAGGGAGACAAATCACCCCCTCCCCAAGCCAAAAATGCAGATGCCGGATATATTTTTCAAAAATATTATTGTTTATATTAATTTATATTTTATAATATTTATTCCTATCTTTTTCTTTTTAAATATATATTTAATTAATCACATTAAGTTATTTTATCAATTAATTTCGATTTCAAGATTTCCTTGACGTAATATTTATCTATTGTTCTCAAATTTCTAGTGGCGTAATATTTATCTATCATTTTCAAATTTCTAGTCAAATAATAATTAAGGACATAAGAAATTTTTTTAAACATATTGATGATGATGAAAATCTTAGTCATCTTATAAAAAGGCACAAATAATTTTATAACATTTTATAATTAGCCTAGAAGAAAGACATACACTTCTTAAAAAGTATTAAAGATACCTATGATAAATATTTTATTTAATAATAGATTTATATTCCACCCCTCAATTTTCAATATCCACAAACTTTATGTGCTAATCGAAAGTTAAAATTTCAAAACAGGTATTTTAGTAGATGGTTATGGCTAGCATACTCTATCCGAGACATTTAAGCTTATTACGAGATATGTGTCCTGTTTGGCCTAAGATAAAGAAATTTAGTTAACCTTAACAGTCTTGTTAAGACTCCATTCAACAAGTGCACAGACGCTGGAGAAATCTTTGACAATCATCAACAAATTATCACAAACGCTATGAACTGATGACTTCTTCAAATTAATTCAAAGTGGGAATATGATTCCCATTTAATTACATATTGACAAAAAGGATTAAAATAGCATATGAAAATAGATGTAAGATCAAACAAACTATTGAGAATATTTTATATTGTGTATTGCAGGGCCTAGCATTATGTGGCCATATGGATTCAGGATACTTGAATTTCATTAATAATGATAATCAAGGTAATTTTCGTGATTGTAAAAATTAAAGAATTAGGGGATTCTTCATAAATGGAAAACCCCTAGCGACAAAATATTTTAAACAGAATTATTTCTGAAACTCCTTGTCCAACAAGGTGAAAGAAATTGCAAAAAGCTTGTCCAACGAGATGGAGTCTTCGCCAACATGTAGTAACAGCTTTTATAGAGTTAGAAGAGCCGATTATTAATGCTCTTACTGAAATATCACAATAGCCTGAAAGAGATATTTCCTCAGAAGCAAGAATATTATTGGATTCAATACTTATACCAAATTTTTTTTCTCATTAGAATGTATTAACAAATTATTTAATTATACCTATTTTATGTAATACTTTTCATAAACATGACATTGACTTGATTGAGACGATGAGATAGCGGAGAACATTTTATTAGAACTCAAGAAAATTAGGGCTAATGTTGATGAAGAATTTCATATTTTATATGTTATTGTTGAAAAAGCAGAGCTATCTAATATTTGTCTCCCTCGACTTGCAGCAAGGCAAGGTCATCGTCCAAGCATTAATATAGGGTCAGTAGAAGAGTATTATAAAATAAATGTTTTTATTCCTTTCTTTGATACATTTATAGCCCAAATAAATGAATGGTTTTTAATTCATCAGGCAGCACTTACCAATCTTCAGATATTACTTCCACAAAAGCCTTCCCAACTTTTTTCAGATGGTGATAAAAAATAAAATAAAATATTTAGCAGATTCTTATCATGAAGATGTTATAGTATCTTATGATGCTTTATTAGCTGAATGCCAACTATGGTATAAAAGATTAATTATGGTTAGTCCCAAAAAATGCTATATGCTTTGCATCATTTCAAACATCTTTTAGATTATTTTCCCAATGTATTAAAATTATTATATATTTTAGCAACTCTTCCCATTAATACTGCAACTAATGAGAGAACATTCTCTTCTTTAAGAAGAATATAAACATACCTAAGAAGTAAAACTTATGAAAGTTGATCGAATGGTTTGGCCCTTTTGAATATTCGTAGGCATTTACGCCAAGCACGGATGAGAAAATTGAAAAATTAGTTCAATCCCAACGAAGATTGGATTTTACATTATAAATATATAATAGGCTTCTTAATAATATTATTTGTGCACATTTATTTTTTCATGAATACTATATAAGTTATTATACAAAATACAATTATTCCTAAGAAACTTGTGTATTGATTTGTATTTCCAACATTTTTTTTTGAAAAGTCCATTCTTCAAGAGCGTATAGAAAGGGAATTAAAGATTATTCTATCTGCTGAATATTATCAGCTATACTTTATATATTTTAAAGGCTCAAAAAATTTAAATTTCTATTTTGGGTCATTTATTTTATAGGGATTAATATGCTGGTTATATCCATTTAATATTCTTAATTCACATTTATTTTATAGTTTTTTATATGTCGGTTTATATATTAGTTTTTTATATTAATTTAAAATTGTATATTAGAAGTAGTTATTAGTCCTAAATTTATGTTTGACATTTTTAAATAACAATAATTTTATCTTAAAATAATTTAATTACCCCCTCTCCCCACAGAAAATTCCTGCGTACGCGCCTGCCAAAATCTTACTAATAATTTTTTCCTTTTTACTGGCTACTATACTGGTTAAAACATTGTCATAAATTATGGCTTGTTCAACCAACTTCAGTGGAGATTAAAAATAAATAATATATAAGAATTTTATAGTAGGGTGCCAGCAGAAGCCTGGGAAAACGAGGTTGAGGTCAAAGTTTTTTAACACCCCCCCCCCCACCCCATTGGAATTCTGGTTACTCCACTGCTGGTAGCCCTCAAAGGTATTAGTAAAGCACGAAAATTGGCCTTGATTTTAGAATTAGTGCCTCTAATTATTTGCCAACTTTAATTTTTTAAAGATATTAGAAAATTAAGAATATAGAAAACCCAAATGTAGGTTCCATTAGAAATTAACCTTTTATTAGTTCAAACGCATTCATATGAATTCAGATTACTCGTTTCCTTCTATATTTCTAATAAAAAGATATAAATTTGAATGAATGCGTTCTTCGCGTGATCTAAGAGTATAATATTGTATCAAAAATTAATTTGCATATTTTTTTAGAATCCTTTATCTAGATTCTAGATCAATAATATAATGTCATTGATGTAGATACTAGTCTCTTTATGGAGAGATGTTAAGTTTTGTATCAAAAAAACATAATTGAATACGCCCAAACCCAAGAATGATAATGACAAAAAAAATTTTTATTGTACGAGGATAATATAAATTTTAAATGAGTGTTATTGCATTTAGAGAATTATTAACAGTACCCTATAAAATGTTACAAGGCTTAAAATTTAATTTCCTGGTTATAAGCATTCCTAGTTTTTGGCTCAAGACAAGCACAATATGTTAGTTTACATTAATATGATATTTGAAATCATTTAGAGGCGTTATATTAAAACAGAACATCTTTATAAAATTAAGAAACAAAATTTTAAACCAATGCTTTGTTAATAACTCAAACCAGCTCAATTGTATTTTCCCCATATGACACTATGAGGCTGAGTAATATCTGAAACATTAGCTCTACCTCCAACTTTTAAAAACAATCCCCCCCCCCTCTTAAAGGTTGCTTTAATATTTAAGTTGTTAAAATATGGCGATACATATATTATACTTTTGGTTGGGTAATTACTATATTTTTAGCCGTAAGCCAATTTTTAGCCTGCTAAAAATCGGTTAAATCAAGTTTTTAGGCAAAAACTAACACATTGACCTTGAGATTTATTTTTAAAAGAAAGAAGCTTAAATTTGAAATAAACTAATATAAATATTAAAACGCCGTAAGTTAAAGTATTTTTTCGGCAGGCGCCTGAAGATTGAACCGAATTAGCCTACATTTAGCCATTACCCAACTATAATTATATAATATAATGTAATTAATTTTATAATAGTTGATAATCCTCAATTCACTTAATTTTTAACACTTTATTTTTTAAATGAAGATATTAGTATGGCACACACAAACACGGCATCCAAATCTTAATCTAGAATCAAATTTCATAAAAATGTACAATGTATCATCAAATCATGATATTGAAATTTAAAATTTAAATATTATAGACTGCACAATTTCATATATTATTTGTATAACAATATATTATACATGTATAATTTATTTTATAATTATTATCGACCTTGTATTAGATTTAAATTGTCTAAAAATATTTTTAAGAATACCTTTTAATTATTTTACACTAATTTATTGTTCAAAACTCAAATTCTCAAAAACAGTTCATCATTCTTTTGGGGAACATGTAATTTTCAGTGACGGCGTCAAGTTTACTACTAGGGAAGCAATCAAAAAAATTTTTTATTTTATTTATTAGTCAAACCATAAAAAATTAAGATTTATAAATAAGCGGAATTCGTCTTTGTTTTTGAGTAAAATGATCAAGTACTGAATTATAAAAGTTATTACTAGATTTTAAATTTTTCAATAATTTTTTTTCAATAGAAATCAAAGCTAGATTCGATAATCGATTTTGACTCATTCTGTTTCTACAATAAGATTTGATTATTTTTAAAGATGAAAACCCCCGTTCTGCACTTGCTGTTGTTGCAGCCAAAGTTAAAATGAATTTGCATAATTTAAAAAACTCTTTAAAACTTTTCATCAAATCGGTATTAATTAAAAATTCAAGTATTTCATAAGCATTTTTTCTCTTTCTAAATTCATCGTCACGAAACACTACCTTTAATTCGGTTTCCAGCTTGTGTAAGTCGAAAAATTGAGAATAAGTGTCATTTAAATTGTCTAAAAAATATTTTGGGAAATTTTGTTTAAATATTTGAAATTTACTAATATCTAACAATTCGACGAATTTGATATTTTTTAATGTATCAAACCGAAAATCAATTTCATTGATTATAGTATCTATTATTTTAATTATCAAATTTTTATAAAATTCTCTTGTATTAGGCAATCCGGATCTATTACGTTGTTTTATCTAAATTGTCTTCAATATTTTCCTTTACATTTAAATTTCTCCAAAAAACATCAAAGTTTTCTATGTTAGATTTAACTGAATTTCTGAAATCGTTAATTCTTTTAAGACAATATGATACATCGTTAATTTTAGTTTGAAGTATATCAAATAATAAATCAGATTCTGGAAAAACTTCTTGAAAAAAATATAACAAAATTAGAAAATTTGCATCATTTAATATATTTAAATAGCCACAAGATGTTATTAGAACATCATTATCCCAAACAATATCAGATTCTTCATCAATCATACTTTCAAAAAAAACGACTAGATCCTTCAAATAATTGAAAACTGTTTGAACCAGCCGACCATTGTATTCCCATCTTGTTGGGGCTATTCGTGGTAATCTTTTTTTAACATATTTATCAAATTCTGCTGTACGCTTAGATGATGTACTAAAAAAACTGGCTAAACCAGATAAAGTTGCAATAAAAAACCTTACATTCTTTAATTTTTCTGCAAGATTTTGATAATATAAGATTTAACTTGTGGGCAAAACAATGAATATAAAGTGCAGAAGGATTGACGTCTCTAATTTTTGCTTGCAATCCATGTGAATCACCTGACATAACAGCTGCGCCATCGTAACTTTGACCTATCAATTTTTTCATAATTTTCTTATCATTCAAAAATTTAATGACAAATTTTGATAAAGAATTAGCATCACGATGCATTGTAACATCAAAGAATTCAATAAATCTTTCATATAATGACCCGTTATTTAAAACATATCGAAGAACTACAGCCAGTTGGAATTTATTATTTATATCAATTGTTTCATCTAATATTATTGCTATAAACTCCGTTTCTTCCAATTCATCTAAAATTTTTTGGTGTAAGACATATGAAATGGAATTAATTAAATCATTTTGGATATCACTTGATAGTCCAATAAAAGTTGTACAATTTTCTAAATGATGTTTTAATAGCAAATTTTCTTCCGCGAGCAAAGAAATTAATTCAATATAATTTCCTCTATTTACTGAATTAAGTGATTCATCAATGCGAGCTGCTGAACTCCAAGAAAACATATAATTGATTAAAATTTTCAATATTTCTCTATTTGATTTAACTTTCGAATTTTGCTGTTCGATTGATATTTTGCGCATCGAATCTATCATATTTTCAATACGAATTTCGCCAAATGTTTTTAATTGAATTATCGACTGCAAATGAGCTGTTGATTCTTCATGTCGTTTAACTGCCTTTGAAAAATTATTCATATCCGAAAATCCTCTATCATTCCAAACATATTTTTCCTTTGAGAATAATAAGCATGACCAACAAAATAGACAATTAGAAAATTCACATCCAGTGAACCATTCATATTTATCATATTTATCGATAGAAAAATTACGAATGCAAGATTTTGTTTCTTTTTTTAAATTTCTTAAAATTGGCTTTGGTTTTCCTTTTTCAATAATTAATTTTTTGGTATCAAAATTTCTTGAGCTAAATGATAATATTAATAAATTTTCAATAATACAATTACAATTATTTTTTTAAAAAAAGTAAGAAAAAAAATTTAATATAAAAAATTTATTTTTCTTTTATAAAAGAATAAGCAATTTTTTATTTGCTTCCCCAATGCTTATTTTTTAATCGTAAAATTAAACAATATCATAACATGATTTTCTATTTATTTATTGAAAAAATAAGCAAAATTAGATTTGCTTCCCTCTTGTATATTTTTTTAACGTAATAAAAAAATTACACCAAAAAAATATCGTATGAATCATGATTTATTAGTATATTTATATTTATTATAGGAAAATAAGCAATAACATCATTTTTTAACATAGTAAATATAATAGTAAATTTTTTTACTTAGTAAAAATAATAGTAAATTTTTGAACGTAGTAAAAATAATAGTAAATTTTTTAACGTAAATTTTTTATCATAGTAAAATATTATAAATCTTTTTAACGTTATAAAAAATATATTAATTATTTTAAGGTAGTAATTTTTTTTTTAGCATAGTATAAAGATTATATCCTCTTTTATCTCTTAATAAATAGTTTAAATCTATTAATATAATTTTAAATTTATATAAAGCGTAATATAAAATGTATGATATAATAACGATCAATATAATAGTAAATTTCATTAATATGTCAATTTAAAAAATAATCACATTTGTTAGTATATCTTTTAAGGATAAATAATAATATATTTAAATAATATAAATTAATATATAGTAAATTAATATAATAAATTGAGCATATGATTTAAAAGAATTATGAGTTTTCATAGTTTGCCCTTCAGTTTTTCTTCTTCCATCTGAATATTCCTCTCTTATTCTTAATTGCTTTTCTCATCGTCGATTCTGTGATTAGGGTTTGGTTCTTTTGTTGACTTACATCTGAATATCCCTCTCTTGTTCTTAATTGCTCTTCTCATCGCCGATTCTATGATTAGGGGGTATCAGTCATTGAGAATATGAAGCTGAGGTAATTGGATTTTATTTAAGTTTATCTAAGAATTTTGTAAAAAAAAATTCAAGGGAAGCAATGCTTCCCTTGCTTCTATGGACGCTTCGTCCCTGGTAATTTTATATTATATCATTGCAAGCATTTTAATTTATAGAATGAATACCTAATATAACTTTGATACAGATATTTTTCACATAAACAATGGGTTGAAAGACAGCGAAATCTCGTCGAGCCCTAATTGGCAAACCTTATAAAATAAAATATATTATTTTTAATATATAAAAAAACACTTATTTCGATCTTTTTTATTTGTTTTATAGTAGATTTAAATTTCGAAAACCAATATCTAAAACTCTTTTTTAAATTAAAATTTTTCTTTTGATATTTTTTCGGAAACAATATACGGGGGAAGAGTAAATCCATCCATAGGGCTGTTGCAAGAATTAAAAATTTTACTTTCATAAAAGTTTGTGTAAAAAGAATGTGAATTTTTTAAATTTATAACTTGTCACATCCTAAATTTTAAGGTGTGCTAATGGCTTGAAAATACCTTTCAGCCAAAACAGACTTTAGTCTTCACTCTTTTTGAGTAACTTACAAGTATTTTTAAGCTTATTTTATTTGGATAGATTGATATGATTTTCACTTTTTTTAAAAAAGAGGTTTTTCTTTTATATAAGAAGGTTTAGGAATTACAGAAAACCCACATGGTGTCCAACATAAATAGGAATTATATAGGCGCATACAAAATTTATATATTTTTAGTTAAAATAAATTTCACTAAAGCTATATACTTTAGGGGAAGCGGGCTCAATATACCACATACCTTACCCTTGTTCGGTACAGAATTCTATAGTTCTTTTAAAGATTTCTATGTAGTTTTGATTTAGTATAAAAATATATTAAGGGATTCAATAAAGAGAAAGTTGAGATTTCTTTACTCTGATATCTTCGATTAGGAATCACAAGAATTTATGAAATTTATAGGTAATGGTATTAAAAAAAATCGGGTAGTGGGGATAATATTCGATTTAAAAGGTAGGTCGTGAATATTTTATTCCTAATTCAAAATTTTTAGACTTTTTAGAATTCAAAAATAGTACAAATAGTTTTTGTAGACCAGAGATCTTCAAGGCCCGCCTCAGTTAATATTTTTAAAAATGAACATATTTCGATCAATAATGACAGCAATTTGACAAGTTTGCTGTTATTTTTCGATTCTAAACTTACTTAACAATTAAATGTCAAAGAAACCTCTCATTTTTTAAAAATTTTTAGGGTTTCCACATGTATCTACACTGTCCCAGTTCTATGCAATTTTTATAAATTATAAAATATTGTTGATTGTTGATTGGTCGGGAATAAAATAATAAATAATATGATTATTGAGATAAAATAGATGATTTTTCGAGGATGCAAGTTTTTGAATCATTATTAAATTATGGTATTACGAAATTAAATTTTATTTGTATGTTTTATAAAAAATATTTGATATTTAATTTTAAAGATTTGAAAATTGAATAATAAAAGTACTAAATTTAAAGTGTAGCGAGAACTTATGTAAGATAACAAAGAAGGAGTAAGATATACACTACATCCCAATATAAAAAAAAAGCTCTAACTAAT